AGAGAGAGAGAGAGAGAGAGAGAGAGAAAGTGAAAAAGATAGAGAGAGAGAGAGAGAATCAGTGAGGGAGAAGCACAAAGAGGCAGAAAGACATACACAGAGTATGATAGAGGCAGACTCACGCTCGCACACTCTCAAACACACTTATCGGACCTGGCGCGCACAATCTCAAAAGCATAGGTATACACACGAAGGCAAACAAACACACGAACATCGCCTTCCTCCCACGCACATACATACACATGCACACACATACACATACTCTCTCTCTCTTTCTCTCTGTCCCTCTATCTCTCTCTCTCTCTCTCTCTCTCTCTCTCTCTCTCTCTCTCTCGCACACACACACATACTCAGAGAGAGAGAGAGAGAGAGAGAGAGAGAGAGAGAGAGAGAGAGAGAGAGAGGCTCCAACACATTCTGTGTTTTCTTTGAGATTGATCAACAGTCTAGAAATGGTGAAGTTTTATCTGTCTTTTCAATAGTTCACTGGGCAGACATCATATCAGCTGTGTTCCAACTAAAACTAAAACTAAAACGTCCATTTAAAAAAAGTCTACGTTAAGGGCAAACTCATTCGGGTCGCCCTCTTAGCCTCGGTACTCGCATAGACGAGAAAGTGGCACAAGTGTAAATGTATAATGTAAATAACACCGGAAACGCCAGTAAAGTGTCTCAGCACTGAATTGATTATTTCCCATACCTAAGTTTACAGTATACTGAATGATTAGCCGTGATCAGCATTAAGCGGACGAAAACTTGTGGGGCGAGCGGACAGCAGGAGATCTTTAGAGGAAGAACCCCCTTCAACTTATAGTGTTACGGCCCTAACTACCTTGTCCTTATTATAATTGACTAGGGTTGCTAGCCCCCCCTGCTAATCTTTCCCAGCGTCACCTGTCTTTCCAGGCGTCCTCTATTCGTTCGTGGACATCAATAAGTCTATACCTGATAGAATAGGCATTCAGTCTGTTCCTGAATGTCAATGGATTTATCATGTGCCTTGAAGAGACTGAGAATGTGCTAGTGATTTTTTTAAAGCACAATGAAGATGAATCCTTCTAATCGTTTTGTTCAGCTACAAAGTCCTTTAAAAAAAAATCTGGATGGGTATGTTGATTTTTTAAACAGCATTTTTAAAAAAATGATGTACTGAGCTATCTCTGTTTCGCCAAGACATGATAAAATTGTTGAGGAGAATACTTGGTCAGCCTGAAGGAACACAACCGGCTGGATACACTGAAAGCAACAACATGGATGGCAATGAGTGTCAGTGATACAGCTTTTCGGTACTTGGAAACGCTTTCCAAATTCTGGAAAACTTTGCGTCTCTTCCGTTGAACTGAAGGAAAAAATTATTAATGGTTCTGGCAGCAAGACGCTAACCCTCATACTGTAATACAGCAGCGAGTTTGTCTGTTCGTTTGTTTGTTTGGTGTTGGTGTTTTGGGGTGGGGGGGGGGGGCGGGGGTGTTTGTTTTTTTTATTTTATTTTTTTTTGGCGAGGAAGTCATCAGTCGCCTTTCGGCTCACGTGATTATGTTTGGGCCCCCAAAACGGCAGGATTTTTGTCTTTGGGGTGACCTAAAGGACCATTTGAGTGCACAGAAGTTTGAGAATCTTCGGCAATCTTAAAGATGTTGTGTCAAGCCATGCCATGCCTGACGCAGTCATATATACACTATTGTTATCGAGTGGTCGATAACTGTTTGTTTGTTTGTTTGTTTTTGTAAAGTGTTTTACGGTCCTCGCAACTGCATAAGGTCATATGAGCGCGCGGGACACACCTAATATTTTCAGTTGGTAGGAAATTTTGAATTTTGCCCGGGTGGCGGCCGAAGCCTACTCTTATCGATTTTAGACCACCAAGGGATCTTTAACGTGCGCAACTTGCATACGGGCCCTCCGATATTTTTCGCCCTTGTCCGAGTAGGCTAGGTGTAGATCTTTCCTACCAGAAGATCAGGGGTGTGGCTGAAAGACAGCAGTAAGAGGAAGCGAAGGAGTAGCAGTAGAAAGGCTGCAGAAAGAATCAGGAGCCCAGAGGAAGGGGCAAAGGAGGTGAGGAGGTGGGGGCAGAAAGAGGACACGAATGCTGACGACAGAACATTGCTAGAGAGCAGGAAAGGAGGTGAAAGGAGACAAATTTAGAGAAGAAAATTTTTCGGTCGCTACCCGGATTCGAACCCGGGACCTTTTGAATGAGAGGCCAACACCTTAACCTCTAGGCCACGAGAGCCCCCTCGATAACTGTGTCTTTAGTGCTAAAGAATGTTTTTCTCACAACGGACGACACATTGATTTGTTTGCACGAAGTAAGACGTGACTGCTAAGGATTGCATTGCCACCTCGGTGTTTCATGCTTCAAATATTGATTTTATTCATTGTACATAATCACCTATAATTGTGAACATGTTTGTGATTACATTTTCGTTGAGTTTATCTTTTATCGTTGATTAATTGGCAGATATATTTCTTGAAACACCTGGAGTATTATGTTTTGGAGGCTTCTATTATTCCTGTGGGTGTTTTATTTACTGTTTATAACATCTGTTGCCCTAGATCGAAGAGCAAATAAGATGCCTTTTTGTAAGTCTAGAATATGCTCCCTAACCCCCTTCCATTTTTTAAAGACTCACAAGCGAACACAAAGAGCCACTTACTTAAATCCACTCGGATTCCAAGCCTAAATTGGAAATTGAACCGTCCGTATTTCTTTTTTCTCATAGAAGAATGTATCGAGCTGAGGTTCTTTGATCTTCTATCGACAGAAAGTTCCCGCTCTTGGTGTATTCTTATTATTGTACAAACTATTCATAAAGATGTAGGTAACGCACATATGGCTACTCTGAAATACATTGTAATGCTGTATAAATAAGGAGATCTGTTGGAAAAAGTCTTGTCATTTTTTCTTCCATATGGTAAGTTGTTTATTATTATTAGGTATATATGATATGTGTGTGAAGTGGGGTTGGATTTGGGGGGGGGGGGATAATTAGACTGTCAACAAGGTCAGGGAAACATAGAACGAACATAGATTATAGTAGGTGCTTGTAATATTCATGCTTTTTGGTAATGGTGTGTTACACCAGTGGGGTTCCTTTTTCGCGTGTGTTTGAATTACGTGAGAGATTGTATATCTTGGCGTTTAGTTTACGCCACACTTTTATCATTCGGCACCTAGAGAAAATGATTCCCAA